TTGACTGGAGGACTGTGTACAAAGTACAGAACTCGTGGACATAACATGACACAAATCAGATTACAGGGGAGTAACTACGAGCACCAAAAGGTAAGAGGCAAAGACTGCAGAACACTTCCTGCCCCAGTAAAGTTCCAGCACCAAACCCTGATTTAAATTAAAGGTTAAACACAATATTAAGTGATTATTTCTATTCCACCTTCCAGTTATTACCGAAACACTTCTCTTTTTTTAAATCACAGTATAAAAACACAACAGAGAGGCCTCCCTCACCCTTCAGAAGTGCCACTGAGAGTTGGTCTGTGTTCAGGTTGTTGACATATTTGCCCAGGTAGGTGTTGAGGACCCAGGCTACCAACCCTTCCAACATGACTGTCCTGGAAGAGGGCAACTAACGGTTTTCTGTCATTTTCTGGATTTCTGTTCCATAATTAGTCTCCCTCTGAAAGAAAAAACAAGAAGAAAATTATTGTCTGAAATATCCACTCTCAGCAGAGCTGACATACCACCACTGCCACTGTAATTCTTACTGTGATCTATCTAAAGAGGAGTAAAAGAGAAGTAAAATCAACTAAGGTTGATTTCTACCTTTAAAATGGTTTATCCTCAGTGCTTTAAGGGTCAAACCAGTTTCACACAGAGCTCTGGTGATTACACACCACTCCCATTTGCACATTAATTCATCTTTCCATCCTTTTTCCTAAACAAAACACCACATTTTGTTGCAATAACCGACAAGGCCAATCTACAATCCTCTTCCAGGAAAGGGAAGGCTAAAATTCCACGTTGATCTGAAGCAGTTTTGCAGTGGCCTCCTCAACCTCTGGTGCCAGTATTTCCTTCGTGCTGGGTTTGGCACAGCCTGGTCTGAAATAACAGCCTGGAGCCTATGACTGTATTTTTGTAGAATTCTTACATGGCATCTGTGAAGCAACTCCCCAAACCCCTTTTTGGGAGAGCCTGTGTGTGGGAAGTAACCAGATACAAGCCCCATAAATAGCTCATCAACAGTTACTCCAACAGGTTTCCAGAGTGACAGCAGAGATTCCTGCACTGGGGAGGGGAAAAGTTACATTAGAGCAGCCCCACTGCTCAACATTTCCCATCACACTCTTCTCCAGACATTTCTGTTTCAACCTATGTGGCAATCAGGGCATTAAAATCCCAAAGCTCCCGTCCAAGTTTTTAACCAGTGAATTGCAAAAGTGCTACGAGCTTCCACAAGGGCAGGATGGAGCTTGGCACAGTGAGGAAAAAAGCATGCAGGCCATTTCTTGGGGTTAGAATGGAGTAAATGTACCGATTTTGTGCTTAAAAAACTCTCTCGATCCCCCAGACCTCCCTAAACCACAGAGTTTTACAGAGCAGAGAAGCAAGATACATAATTTATTTACATTAGGCAATAGAAGGAAACGACAACTTCAAGAGTCAGATTTTAAATTTCATATTAGGATTTAAGGTTTTCCCCTGAGGAGGTTGGCTCGATTTTAGGCACCCCCATTTGAGCCTTTATTTCTTTTTTAAAAAGCCAGTGAAAACATTTAACTAAGAGCTAAATAAAATAACCAGAACTAAGCAAACAATGAAAGGCTTTTTCTAACGGCTGAAAGTGAAACCATGCTGTCCTGCAAAGTGAAACAGAAAACAGCACAGGGAAGTTTGATTTTGACTATGTCACAGCTTCATTTATATGTGTTTGACATTTTTATCTTTGTATAATTTCTCAACAGTTTTCAAACACAGTAGTATTATTCCACATAATAAAGTCTGAGCATTCTTACTCTTGGGCCACAAGCTTTTATTTTTTATTCCAATAAAAGGTTTTTATTCTAATAAAAAGTGACAAGAAAGCTGAAGACGAAACAAAAGCAAATACAGTCATCCTTATCATATTGCCACTAAAAAAAAGAAGTCAATAAAAAAGAAATCTACAAGTGTTTGGAGCCAAAGCAGAGGAAAGATGTTGAAGGAACATTGAGATCAGCATCCAAGGGCTGAAATCCTCCAGTGCATGAACAGTTCCATGCCTGAAGTTACCCTAAAAGCTGTAAATAAAGTAAATTATCTCCTTAACCTTAACCCGTGGGACACAACTAACCATACAGGAATCTTCCAAATGTTTTAAAGCTTTTACATTTTTAACGTGGTTAAAAATGGCACTGCTGTGCCACAGAGGAGAAAAGCAAGACATTTCTTTTCTGTGGCTGTTTTAGTTTCCTCAACACACGCGCACACGGAGTACAACAGGGACCAAAGCCCAAACCAGGCCGTGGCTCAGCTGTGGCTGCTTTTCGCCGGGAAAAGCAGCGATTTCCAACCCCAGGGGAGCAGCAGGGAGGGCGCTGGGAAGGGGGGCACTGCCAGAAAGCACCCTGACCCCGGGCGGGCAGCACCGCCGGGGCAGTGCCGGGGCAGTGCCGGGGCAGTGCGGGCACACCGGGGCAGTGCCGGCACACCGGGGCAGCCCCGCGTGCCGCGAGGAAGCCAAAGGTCACCTTGCCCCGGGGAGCCCCGAGGACCCCGCGGTGTCCCCGCCGGAGGGACCCCTGAGGCGGCGAACGGCCCCGGCCGTGGGGGAGGCCCTGAGGACCCCCCCGCCTCCAGGCCACGCCAACGCGGCGGGGGGGCTGAGCCCCCCCCGCCCTGCCCCGCGCTGCCCGCCGCGGTGGCGCGGGGCCGGGACCCGGCGCGGCCGCCCTCGCCCACCCCTCCCCCGCTGCTGGGCGGGGCGTGCGGCAGGGAGGGCGCCCGGGCCGGGAGCGGCGGCTGACGCAGGAGGGAAGGGGCAGCGGCGCTCGGGGGGGGGTCCCCCCGTGCCCTCTCCGTGTGCCCCCTCTCGGTCTCCCCCGTTCCTCCCCGTCCCCCCGGGCCCCGGACCGCTGCGCTGCGGGGCGGGGCGCGGGCGCGCGCCGGCGGTCCGGGGGCGCGCCCGGGGTGCGGGAGCGCGAGCGATCGATTGAGGGCGCCGGGAACGCCCCCCCTGAGGGCGGGGCCCGGTAACGGGGGCGGGGCTCGGGCTCCGCCCCCTGCTGGGCGGGGCCGGGCCCCCCTCACGGCGCCGCGCGGGAAAATGGGCTGTAAACAGCCAGGTTTGGGGCTGAAAAGTGTCAAATGTCGTTTCTACCGGGACCAGAAATGGGTATCAACTAGAATCACTGGGCTTTTTTTAATCTTTCTTACCCAAACTGAGGCAAGTTCGTCTCCACGCGGCTCGTTTTAAGTCCACATAGGCAGGACCGGCTGTTGTTTAAACACAAATAATTTTCAAACCCTTTGAGGCGTTTGCCTGCAAGGCTCACCATTGCTTCTGAGTAAAATGCCATCACAATATTTCATTATCTAAATAATAATAAAATACAGTTGTGTTTTAATAAAGAGCTCAGGAAACTTGAAAATACACGTATGTATAAAAATTCATAGTTTTGCATTTGGAGTCTTTTTACATTTTATAAGCAAATTCAAGCTCATTTTTCCCCACTTAAGCATAATTTTCCTTCTGTCAAGCAGCTCCTTAATTTGAAAACCCTGTAAATTAAGTGCTGTAACAGGATCCTCCTTTTTAATGTTTTTAAAACAAAAATCTTCCTCTGGTGCTTCAATGTGGCTCCAATACTGGGAGCCAACAAAAAATCATGCTGAAAATACCACAGTGCAAGAGGTTCAAAGTGCTGGATAAAATAAGGTTATTTTCTTGCCTAAATCCTTCAGTTTTGTTAATAGTTTGAGCGTGCCCGTTTTCAAAGTCTTCCCTGAAAATTACCTTCAAGTGCAAGTTTAAGATACAGTTGTAAAAGTTGTAAAAGGTTTTCTCAAAGTAGAACTATAGACTTGTTTGTGCGTTCTCAGTTCCAGAACCGAGTAACCTCAGAGCTTTTGTGGGAGTTTAAAATTTGTATTTTCCAAATGCAAATTCTCCTCTGTAGCAGTAGAAAAAATGATATTCCCAGACATCCCTTTTCAGTCTAAGGCCTCAGAAATAACCGGCGTGTTTAATTTCTGAGGTAGAATAAGACAGTTCAGTTGGAAGCATTGGAAGCACAGGGATCCTCCAGTCCAACAGTGGGTTTATGGCACAAAAGACAAGAGTTGTGCCCACTGGATGACTTCGCTGTGGTGTGACTCAGACCCTGGGCTGCAGATCCTGGTTGAACACAGCCACCACAATTGTCAGTTAAGTCACAGCCTGTAAAATATAATTATGGGAAGTGGGTTCCTAAAGACTGGCTTCCAAACCCAAGACCTGATTGAAGAAGAAGCCCCAGTAGTTTTCTGCCAGAGGTGGTTGGAGCTTCAGCGTCATCAGGCAGTGAAGTGGAACAGGATTTTCAGGTTCTGAGGTTTGAGTCAACGCCGTTTATTACAAATGATGCTGTGCCATCTTTGAGAGACCTTTTCCTGAGGGCAGTGGGCAGGAAAGGTAATCACATGGATCTGCTCTAATATTCACTGGAACACAGGGAAAATATTTATGGTTAACCTCAACAACGAGATCAGAATCAATCAGGGAACGTGTTACATCAGCCAGGACACAAGGTGACACACTCTAGAGCTGTCAGTAAAAGGAACTTAGTTCTACTCCAAAACAACTGTTCAATCTCATTTTTCTCTTCTAAAACAAAACGAACTATGTACAGGCAATGAAATGCTGTTGTTTAGACATAATAGTTGTAATTTAGTAAAAAAAGCTCGTGTAAAAGATTTCACTTCTTGATATCCTGTGTGTACTTATACTGGAGAAATTTGGTCTGATAATGAGCAAAAGCAAACTGTAATAATAAAAGAAATATCCAGGAGGATGAGGGGAAATATGTCCATGAAGATCTGGGATGGGAAATGGAATGCAATAGTTTTAAAATTAAATTCAAATGGATAATTCCTGAGCATTGACTGAATGATAATTTAACTCCAGTCTCTTAGAAGTGCTGGTCACAGCAATGTTCTGGACACCTGAACCCAAATTATCATGACAAGAAGTCTCAGGTGGAAAATTAATGGCATACAGTTAGAGAAATGTTCCTTTTCCAATCTGGTAAAGGTCTTTCTAGGGTATCGAAGAAGAAAGAGAAGAATTGGCCATTCAATTTAAAAGAAAAAGCATTCAAATTTTTAAACTGCAAAGACCTTCCTTTGGCTCTCAAAGCTTAAAAACCTCTAAAGCATCAGTGTTTGTATTTGTCTGAGATTTCAAGTCTCTGTAGGAATGCTACATTTGCCATAACATTTGTTTTATAAGACTTTAGAAAATGATTAATTTTATCAGTCAGTCAGTGTATGATCTGTAATTTCCTCTAACTGGTTTTCATCCCAGCATCTTGAATACCCAGAGGAACCTTCTTTTCTTCTGGAAGTAACTCTTGAAGTAAATTGTCCTCATTTTCCACCGAGATGTGAACTTCAGTTTCACTTTTCGAGGGATTTTCTTCTTTTGAAAGGGGAGTGTCTTCCCCTCCTGGGGAATAAGAGGGAGTGTTTCCATAATCCATCTGCTCTGGGCACTGGGAACTGCAGTCTGGGCTACAGACTTTGACAATACAGGTCACATTCACCTGCGTTCCTCCGTTACCAGAATGTTCTGTCAAATAAACAGAAAACACATTAAACATGGAAGAATGAAACCCAGAACGGGACAGTCGGATTCTTTATCCACTTCTTTGACTTATAGTTAAGATAGATACTCAATATCTTCTTGCTTCCCTTAGTTTGGTCAAGCTGGTGGATTTGGTTCTGTAAATTTTGGTGGGTTTTTATGGTGCCATAAAATCCACGTCACCTCAGAAATAAAAAGGCTACAAAAATCAAGGCAGAGCCCTGGATCACAAACAATTCCCTGCCCATCTGTTGCCATTTCAGATGGTTTTGACAATGTTTTCTTACTGCTGCCTTTGGCTCCTGCTGCCACTCACAGGTGAGTGCTGCCCACCTGATCCCCCACCCCACAAATACCTGTTACTTCACCGAAACAACACCCCTCTACTGTCTCAGGGTGACAGCTTAAAACAACCACTTTTTCTTTTCAAAAGTTACTAAATTTTCCTCTCTGCTCAACAGGAGTCTCATGTTTTATCCTGCCATTTAAACTGCTAAAAAGGCTCATAATTGGTAAACAAATTTCAAGGGGTTCTGGATCATTCTGAACCATTCCCACCTGAACTCGCAGAGCTGTGTCTGTCTCCGCTGTGGAGTTTAGAACTTTCTGCAGGTGGATGTTGCTGATGAAATCCTTCTGGTTTTCTCTTTTCATCATTCTTTTTACTTTCTACGCTGAATCTTGCAGTTGGATTATCCAGGTTGCCACTGCTGGACCCAGAAGTTCCCAAGAGATGCTGTTCCTCCTGTTCAGAGTTGCTGGAGTTCTGCAATCCTGTCTCTCTCACTTTTTTGTCACACTGTTTTTCTGTGAGGGGAAAAGGCTGGAACATTTGCACAGAAATGCAAAAAATTAGTATTTTAAAAAACCCAACATACTAACAGAGAACTGGTCAGTCCTTAGGCAGCTTAAGAAACCACTGATGATTGGAACTAGATGAGTTTAAGGTCTCTTCAAACCCAAGCCATTCTATGGTAATTTCTATCTGCATAGTGATGACTTTAAAATTCATATCAGCTCATTAGGGGTTCAACAAAATGAACTTGTCTCCTGAAGGCACCCACAGCACCACACTGATTATCTAGAGAACAAAGGCTCTAAAATCTGGTTTTCTGCCCCCATCTGTGTTTTACTGCTAATAAAGTGAGGAGAGTGTATTATGTGGGCTATGTAAACTGCATTTTACACCTGGCTTGGGGACCAAACCATCCCATTCTCACTCCAGTTGTCTTTCTGCTGTGCAGTTTTTTATTACTTAAAATTAAATAAGACTGCATGATTTCTGTACAATTTTTAAAGAGGTGGAAGAGATGGAAAGGATGGTGGCACTCACCAAATCTGCCTCTGTAGCTGGTGCAGAGAACACAGGGGCTGCAAGTGAGCAAAGAAATTCATGAGCACCCAAACCTGCTGCAAAAGCTGCACTCTGAACTAGTCTGAGTGATATCCCCTGATCCCAGAATAAACTCCTAATGTGCATTTACACACAGCTTGAAAATACTGAAAGCTGTATTATATTAATCTTGGAAGGTGACTTAAATTTAGCCAGCAAGCAAAGAGGAGCCTCTGCAATGAATTCCTAATTTTTATAGCATAGTGTCAATGAGGAAAGGTATTGATGGCCATACACTACAGTCATGTGGGTTTAATGAGAACACCTGATCATATCTAATATTTAAATGAAGTACAAAATATTTAACAAGCTCCAGCAGAAGCACAACTGTTGCACACTTGTCCAACTCCATGAGGGTGTTGTGTCTTTAGACAATTATCTAAAATCTGAGGAACAAGACAGGCTTGAAGAGAGCTGGCATCTTCTGAGGCATTAACTTCAGTCAACCACCAGGCTCAGATTAGTGGGAAACAAGGTGACACTTTTTCCAGTGTTTACAGATTTGCTTGTTTTGACTTCATGAGTCTTACCTTTTCTGTTAGAGACTAAGCAATAACCCAAAATAGCAATTATCACGACCAGTAACAACGGTCCTGCTACTGCTCCTGAAAATAAATAAAAAAAGAGGAATTATTTAGCAGGTTGATCTGACAAAGGATTGAATTAGAAAAAGGTAGTCTTGTAGCTTCTGTCCATGGGTACAAAAGCTAAATTCACAAATATCAGGTGTGTGACATTCACATTTGATGCCTCTATTGTCAGATACAAGAATTTGTTAAATACAGGCCAGGCAGCCTGGAATGCTCCTAAACATCTCTGTCTTCTGGATGGGCTGAGAACAGGAGAGAACACTCCTCCACTTGAGAATCCTGTCTGGGGAAAGGCTGCCAGAAGGCTCCAAAGACCTCTCACCAGGAGGTTTATCAAGTCAGGTTTGCCTCAGCCCAGAATCTAAGATACAACCCTTTCTACCAGCTACAGCAGCAATTCTCAGGAAATGCCTTCTTTTAACTAGTTTGGGGATTTTTAGAAACATTTCCAGAATTCCAAGGACTGTAGAACACATGGGGGTAGTGCAGATGCACAGGTAAAAATGCAACTCACAACAAGCAGTGTCATATTGAATTAATTCAGCTCTTCTGAGGTTCTGTTTGGGTACAGGTAATTGGTTTTACAAAGAAACTGAGAACTTAATATAAACTTGGTTCCTGGGCAGACAAAATTGACTTTAAATGAGTTAAAGCTCACCAATGGTGGGAGACAGGTCAGGCACAGAGTTTAACATGATGGGTCGAGTTATTATTTCAGGCCTGTGGGGAGCTGAGCTTTGGGTCAGGAGCAGGTTCAGGATGGTGTGAGGTAGAACTGTGGCTGTTCCTGAGTCGCTGCAAACAGTGTCATTCCTGCTGTTCCCAGGAACAGCCACTGATTTACAACTGCAAGAAACAGAAAGAGAAGGTGGGAAAGGTGGCAAACCCTGTGCACAGGTAAGGCTGCTGTGGGGCAGACACTGGCTTACACTGTGTGGGGTGTGCAGCTGGTGTCGTAGGATTCCTCAGGGGAGAAAGTGCCAGGAGGACAAGGTTTGCACTCTGTGTCGGTGCTGTCTGTCCCTTCAAACAAAGAGGAAAACTCCAGTTAGTCTGGTGAGAAACCAGAGAGACCAGAGAATGAATAACCAAGGTCTGTGTAGATCCTGGAAGTGCTACAGAGGCAGTGCCTAAAATACAGCCTGGAACTGTCACAGGAGAGAGTCACTTGAAGCACCCAACCCAAACACACTTCAGAAAATTAATCAGCTGTTAGTTTGGTGCCTCTGACAGTCAATCTTTTTCAAAGTCTAAAACCCCACCAGTAGTTCAAATGTGGTGCTGCAGACAAAGCTGAGCTTTTTCACTAGTCCCTGACAGACTGACCCCCTGCTGTTGGAGTTCTGCATCTTCTCAAATGATCCCTGATTTCTTAAAAACATTTGCTGTTTTGAATTTTTGAATATTATTTATCATCTTGAGACAGATATATTATCAGAGTGGTAATCTCCATCAGCTAATAAAACCAGGTCAATTCTGCAGGACAACATGGAATCATAATTATTCACTGTACCCAAAACTCCACCTGAAGCCCTGTGTTTCAAGGATTTAAGGAGGAATTAAGTGGTCTTGAACCTCAGTCACTTCTACAGAATAAATCACAGTAGAGCAAAACAAAGGAAGATTAAGTTGGATTAGGAACTCTATGATATATGGCAGTAAAAGACTGCAACATGTTATCCCCTTGGATGTACCTCTGGAGAATATTGTCACTCTGGTTAGTGCCTACCTGCTAAGAATGTAAAAAAAAAACACTAAAAAGAGTGTCTAATTGTAGGGAATTAGGGTGGAGTAAGAGTTCAGTAAGCAGAGTGTTCAAAATTAAATTACCTCTTCTGGAAACTCGGTACCCTCTGCCACATTTTCTGTGCACTCTGCACATTCTGCAGTACTCCTCTATTTTGGAAACGCAGTACTTGTGGGGTGGGCAGCTGCAGATCCTGTCCTGGGACTGAGTGCATGTTTGATTCTCCACGAGCCCTTTTTTTAAAACAAGAATAAAGCAAGATGTTATTACCAACATTTCAAATCACAGCCTACAACGTTTTGGGTGAATATGAGATGATGTTCACATACCACAAGCTGAAGGTGATTTTGCAGCTTTGGGCTAGTTTAGCATCATAAACCAATTATGTCAATATGCTCCAGTGTCTACTTTGTCAGAAGAGTTTCCTCTCTCTTTCTCTCTCTGGGCAAGAAGGAATTTGCATTTGTAGAATGCACCTTAAAACTCTACACCTGCAGCTGTGTTATATTTTATCATAACCCCAGATATGCACATTTGTGTTGCCTGTGTTCATCACTGCAGTACCTGGGGGCCACAGCTGAGATTTGCAGCCTGAGCACATCATGCAACTGTATTAAAGTGTTTGGAGACTTTACTACACACATTTTCATACTGTAATTAACCAGCTTTGTAAGATTATCTGTTTAGATAAGACTAAAGAACAGCTTAGACTGTATCCCTAAAACTTACTTGTCAAGTGAGTCAAGTAGGTAATTTTTGACACCGGTTTCCCTTAGAAATGGTGGAGAACAGCATGACTGAGTCTGTTCATGATGTGATCTATCAGCCCAGTGTACAGATGTTGGTACAATGTACTGCCTTATCTAAGCTGCTTCAATGACCAGAACCAGAAATAAAAACAACACAGGAATATCACAACTGGTGTTTGCTGTTGTCACTTCGGCAGACAAGTCAAGAAATAACTGGACACTGGAAATGCAATTATCCATTTACCCCTGTGCATGCCAGGTCTCAAGATCTCTTGACTAGACATTATAAGCAGGAACTCATTCTATTGGAACTATTTTAGTGATGCAGTGCCCAAGTTTCTGAGAATATAAGGTTAGTGTCCCCTTTTTAGGACTTAGAAAGAAAAAGGGACAGGGCCCCCTCCAAGAATTGTCCTTGATTCTTATCCCCAAATCTTACCAAAAGCATGAGGATATACAAGTGACAGATAAAACCTGCCAGGAGAACCAACTGGGTTAAACCAAGCCTAGTCTTTAAGGAGGCTGTTAAAGTCACAAATGGCTCTTTACTAATCCAGGCCTACCTTTCCTGCAGGGTGGTGAGCAGGCAAAGCACTGTGGGGACCAATTCCAGATGGCTGTGTAGGTGTTGGGTCTGCAGGGCCTGCACTTGGTGTCCACAGTGTGACTGCAGCTCTCTGTCTTGTACTGACCTATTAAAAAAAAATAATAAATGAAACCAAAACAGAGAAAACATCTCACTGGAATTGCTTAAGGTAAGGTTCATTTTCAGCTGTAGAACCCTTTCCCTTCACTGGCACTATCAGATTTAACTCTGATTTATGTTTATCATATTTGACCCCTTTTCCTACGTTCAGTTCAGTGAATTCCAGCCACATTCAAAACAAGGCAGCCCCAATCCTGAAGAAAACCCCTCAGCATATCCTTAGATGCAGCTCCCACAGTACAAAGGAAAACACCTCAGTTGCTATTTCCCTATCTTGTGAAATGAGAAGGAATATAAAAGCCAGTGCCTCATATCCTCTACAGAAATATCCTGGAAAACATACTCAGAAAGCAGGATTAAAACTGAAAAAATCTGTGGAGCTGCCTGAAGAATCTGTGTTTCAAAAGAAGAGGCTCTGGAGATGAGCCACATGAATTATTTCCAAAGACTTTGTTTTTCCATGTACTTACCTGAAGCTTAAAATTCTGCATCCTACATCCTGCTAATGATTTAGGCTGATGTAGTGCTGAACAGCACATAAAACAACAGGAAAAGGTTTCATGTATGAATTACCAGCTTCCATCCATCATGTTTTTAACAAAGGAAGTTTGACAGACATTTCTAGATAATGTCAGTTAATTCAAGCAACTGCAGCCGCTTCAGCAAATACTGATTTCCTGTTTGTACTTCTGGATCTGACAGAAACTCAGCATTTATGGCGACAAATTTCCTTTGCTCAGCATGTAATGAGGAAAAAAAAGGTAGTTTTTTGCTGTGTCTTACGTAATAACATAGTTAAAACTTGTTTCAAAACCTCTATTAATAAATATTCGAATAGTATTACTACCTCCAAAAAAACCCAACCCAAAAGCCCACCCTTCTGCAGATAAAAAGTTTAGCTAACTACAGATCACCAGTAATTACCCCTGGAGTATAAGACATGACAGCTCAGAGCAGACAGTCAGAATGTGTTACAAGATCAAAAAAAAAATCAAAGAAAATTGACTGAATTTGGCTGCATAAAGTTTGAACTGGAACCCACCTGGAGGGCACTGGCTGCAACATTTATTAAGTTCTTCAAAATAGAATTCAGTGCTGAGATCTTTGCACTCTGCAGACTGTGGTGTATAAGGCAATGAATATTCCTAGGAGAAATTAATGGGAAATCATGAGTCACAAGTCCATTCTGGTCCTGAATTAGAGAGAGAAATACTTAAAACCCAGTGCAATTACATCCCCCTTCCTTGCCAGGGCACTGATGGAGCCCTGATGAAACAGAACACAGCAGATGCAGGAGAACACACAGCTTATGAGACCATTTTGAGGCTCCTCTGTTTTTCAAAGATCTGTCACAAAGAACAAAGTGATTTCTCCAGGTTTTATGCTCAAAAGAGTGCAATGGGATTGGCATCACATCCACTCACTACTGCATCCCCCAAACCTAAGGGCTGGGAGCCTTGTCCTCAGCTGCCATCACTCAGCCAACCTCTGACTAAACACCAGCAAAACCCAAATTCTTGCCTGTGGGTTTGTGGGAGAAGCATTTTCTGCCAAGGGGGCTGTGTTAAAAATGACCTGTTTCACCAAAGGAAAAGAGAAAGGCTCTAATCTTCCCAGATACTTAGTGAATCCTTCCTGGATGAGAAAGGCCTTGATGTTTCGAAAATGATGTCTGCAAAAACTGCTCTGCTGCTTGTGAAAAGCAGCACCTGGCAAAAATGCAGGTCAAATGCAGGAGGAATGGTCATGAAATACAGGGTGCCTACAGCTCACGCTGGTCAGCACAGCTCAGTGACTTCAGTGAACAAATGTCACAATATTTGATAATTGCTAACTGTTTTCAAAGGGAAAAACACATTCCTCAAAGGGAAAAGGCTCCTGTTAGGTAGGACAAGTGTAGGAGTTTCCTGCTAGATCAGCAGCAAGGGGCTGTTTAAAAATGATGTGACACTGCTCAGCTTTGTGCAGTCTGAAGAGATTGTTGCATGTATAATCTACAGACATTTGGAGAAATCACTGCTAAAAGGAGAAATCAAAACAGGAACAAGCTCCTGGGAGGGTGGTAATGAAAATATCCTTCCTCCTTACTGGAACACATGTTAATTATCTATTGTGTCCTCACATTACAGACAAAGCAGACTAACACTTCCCATTCTCAACAATCACTTAAAGGGAATCCAACATTTTCTTATGCAGCTTGTGAAATATTTTATCTCCTATCTAGCTGTGATCAGAAACAGGATTTTTCCAATCTCCTTAATGGTCAATGTCAAAAAGAACATTTCCTGAGAATGTGAAGGCAGAGAAAAGTCTTCTTGAGTTTAGGTATCTGAGGATGGGCAATGACAAATCACCCCATTTGCAAATGTGAGCTGGCACTAAAATCTGATGAAGGAAAAAAGGGCTTTGCTCTCATCAAACGTATTTTTCATTTAAGTTATTTATTAAAAGAAGAAAGATCAAGTGTTGTCATCCCATTTTTGTAGTCGCTGTGATCAACTTCATTAAAACAAGCACTTGAGAGCCTTTTTAAAACACAGAACTTCGCTGCAAGAGCAGACACAGGGGAAAAAAAAAAGGAGAAGTACATTAAACCACATCACAAGTTATCCTGCTGATGAGGCTTCCTGGCAAAAAAAAAAAAGTTCTTATCTCGTGCTCTGAACTGTCTGTTGTAAATCCTGCCCTGTGGGCTGCAGACACAGAAAAACCTGTGGGTTGCTGGGCTCACACCTGCCTCTCTGAAGTTGTGCTTGAAGGGATCTCTCTGCTGTCTGATACAATCTCTCTGACCTTTTATCTGATGAGCTGTTGCTCTCACTGCCTTACAACTGACAATCCTTCCCAACTGTCCTCAAAGAACATCAGGGGAAACTAAAAGGGATTTGTGACTGGTTTAGATACTCATTTTTTAGTAGTTACTCCCAGCTTTTAATCAAAGCTGTCAAATCCAGCAGAGGAAGTACAGGCCCTTTACTAGTTATAAAACTCCCCTGGATTTCTGGGCTACACTTTTTAGAGCCATCTCACCAATCCTAAGGTCCAGGTTGGGCCATACAATATTTGTGTAGTTCCCTTGGCTACTTTGGGATGAACAACTGATGCCTGGACGGCCAGATTCCATTCCACAATCTTTGCATTTTGTTACTGCTTGTATCTCTCCCAAGTCCTCATTTTACTCTCTGTTTTTACTGTGACTCACTGTTCTACAAGCAGATTGTGTGAAGGAAAACCAACCTGATGCTGCGTGCTTTGCATTACAGCCTTGGAACTCCTCAGCTTATGTGGCCATGTCTAATGGCAGCTGATCTTAAAGAGATTTATACTGACAAAATGAAGACTTTGGAAGACTTAAATTTAATCTGACAGGTACAACTAGAATCAAAATGCCCCATCTATCTGGCAGCAGAGGCACAAACATTCTTTAACATGAAATTTAGTCTCGCTCTGTGCACAGCAACCAAATTAAGCAATGCATTTTGGCACAGCAATGGGTAAACTATGACTGTCTTTTACTACACAACTCACCAGGCAGATTTTTGCAATGCCTGTGCACTAAGCAATAACTAGGAAATTACACATGCAAAGGCAATGACTCCAGACTCTCCAGAGTCCCTGCACTGTTTGAATCACATTCCCATTTGCACTACAGACACCCAGTACACAGGGGACCTACTTTCCCACTGGAGAGGAGCAGGCTAACAGCAGTCACCACACCAAGAGCACTTCATGTGTAACTAAACTTAAGTATCTTAAATAATAAAAACACAACATGCTAATATAATGGATGAATATATATATCCATTCACATAACATTCATTTTCACTCAAGAAGGCCATTTAAACAAAGATATTTAAGCATATATTTTAATCTTAACTACCTTTTTATTGGTCTCCTTGCCTGCTTCAAACTGAAGCTGCCAATCAAAGGAGTCTGAAGAGGAACTACATCTGTGCACAACGTTCTTTTCGCACATGAAACCACAATGAAGTCACTGAGGCCTCTGTCGTAAAAGTCTGTTCCTATGGAAAGGACCTGAGGTACAGAGACACCCTTTGCTGAGCTACCAGACCTGCTGGAGACAGGGAAAACCCCAATTCTGTCTGAAATATTTAAACTGGCCATTAACAAAAATAATTCTGTGGAAGATTAGTTACCAGATAACAGCATCTCACCAAAATCAGCTGGAGCTGTTTCAGGCTGCACCAACTATACTCACACCATAAAGTTTCTTTTAAAGCTGCATAGATCTCTAAGATACGGGTCCATTATGTGAATTATTCTCCCATCCTATATTACACTTTATTTCTATTAAGCATGAGTCCTTGTACAACCACACACAAACAGATTTACAGCTCCACATTCCCCTTCCCTGAGGAAACAGTCTCTGTGCAAATTCTACTTCATTGCCACCCACCATCACAACATGAAAACATCTTCCCAAAAGAGAAGGCAGAAGTTGCACAGAACATGGAAGCTACTCCCAACATGCAAAAATCATAGAAGTCAGTGAAAGGTTGTAGGAAGACAAACTTTATTATATGTCTATTTGGGAAAACATGGATATTTCACCAGCTCTTCTGTTTGAAAAATTCAGGCTATTTCTGAGTAACTCTGGTGACTCAGTTGTTCAAACTGGTAAAAGTAATGTTCAGTTCCTGTGACTGACACAGGGAGTGAGGCCAGGAGTGTTCATAGAATTTCAGCTGAATGAGAAAAAACAGGAAATAGTGTCACTCAAGAGCTATTGCTTTGCCAATTTGTCTCCCTCAAATATAAAATAAGTTTTCTATAACAAATCGCTTCTTAAAATTGATATAACAGACAGGGTTTTTTTTCCAGCTCTGTGGCAGATGTGGTACTTCTGAAACTACTCTGTTTTTCTAACTTTTATATAGACTTTTCTTTGGTTTGTCACAATGCAGAAAGAGATGCTGAAAATTTCCTTCATTATTTTCATCATTATGTTTTGCCATGTTTAGGGTGAGAGGAGAGTTAATTCCTTTTGAATTGAAGCCCCTTGTTCAGAAAGGAACATGACAGAACTTTACACTTAAATTCTGAGACTCTCTCTTCTTCATCTTTTGTACCCTACCCACTGCAAAGTGTCCAGTAAACCAGGTTCAAAATATCATCAAAATAAGAAACAGTTAAAATAATTATTTTAATATGTTGTCAACCTACTGTAGCACCAAGTACTCTTTGAGAAACCATTGTGTAATTTCAGGTTCAATACACATTCTGACACCCTCACCTGGTTTCACTGAACCTTTGTCTCATCAAGCCTAAATTCCTATGATTAAATAAACATGTAGATAACATGAATATCCCACGAAAACACAACGACCTGGACATCTCAGCAGCATTTCCATATTGGTCTTCACAATCCCGGACATTTTAAAATCAGACAGAAAAATGCTACTGATAGACCAGTACAGCAAGCACAGAATCCAAGACAAACATGGAGCTCTTTGGCTGAAGCAGTTACAAGTCCTCATTGCCCAAGAGTGGTACAGCTGGACACGAGAGAGAACAGGCACAGCTGGAATGAGAGAACAGTCCCAGCTGCAGCACATCAGGTCTGCACTGTAAATTAAAAGGCTTTTCTACGTAAATAAGGAAGAGTTCTAGGGAACCAACAGAGCACAACAAGCTCTTCCTGAGTGAACAACGGTGTGAAATGCGTATGGATTTACACCCTGCACTTGCCAGGACACTCACAATTTTTACAAATACTCAAACAAGCCTGAAAAACCAACCTATTCCCAATGAAAATGCAGGAAAAACGGTTTGATGCTGCTTTGGGAAGCCAAGAAAAACAACGACATAGCCAAGGGGAACAGGGTGAGCTTTAAAGGAGTCTTAAGAGCGGGACTTGAGGCTGCCGTAGAGATCACAGCGAGTTCTGTGTAAGCGGGGACAGACGGGTGACAAGGGCTACAAAGGTGACATGGGGCCGGCAGGTGACAGAGGGCAGACAGGTGACACGGGGCAGAGAAGTGACAAGGGGCGGACAAATGGCAGGAGAAGGACAGGTGCCAAGGGCAGAGAGGTGACACGGGGCGGGCAGGTGACTCGCCCACCCCACGGTGACACGGTGCCGGCCCGCAGCGCATCTCCGGGAGCGCATCTCCCTGAGGCGATGCCCTCTCGCGTTCCCCCCGGGGCGCTCCCGCTCCGCAGCGCT